CCCCCCATGAACCAAATTAAGCATCACGCAGGCTCCTCTAACATCAATTCTGTCATCTTTAGCAACAACACATTGCGACAGGAGAAGGCGTGGGCTAACCAGACAGTCTGTCTCTTCTAACCTGTTGCAGTGGAGTTTAACCTTGCCCTGGGTGATGCTTGTGAAGGTGCCTGGTGGCTCTGGTGGGTCACTTTGCCCCTGAAATTGTCGCTGCATGTTGCTGCTAGGCTGTGGGGAAGGGCACTGTGCATGGCACCTCCATCCTTCCCATCACCCTGCCATGAGGACAGTGGTATTTCAGGCAGGGGGGCCCTTAAATAACACGTGGACCTGAATTTCTTGGAGATGCCCTTTGCCCATCTAGCCCCAGTGTGTCCTCTCCCTGCATGCCCTAAGCGGGGAGAGGTGGGGTACGGGGAGCCCATCCCTTCCCCACATGTGGCCCAGCCCCTCCAGGGCTGTTGGATTTGCTGTGACATGGAGAAAACCATCCCCGGTGTAGGTGACAGTCACACTGCCACGTGGCTGTGAGTCAGCCCGAGCATCCGGAGCCGTGGCTGAGCTCCTCCACCCAGGGCCCTTGGGGTGGGCTGTGCTTCCCATGCCACCTCTTCCCAGCCTCCCCGCAGCATATGTCTGCCTGGAACACTGGTTCCTGCGTGAGTCCTGCCTCTGTGGGAAGCCACCCAGGAGCCGGGCAGGAAGATGGGCTGCCTTCAGCATGGGGCTAAAAGCTGAGCCCATGGGTGTCCCCGAGGAGCAAAATCAAACCCTACATACATTGTATTTCCCTCACCTGTCAATTTGTCCTCCTGCCTACCTCTATGCTGCCCATCACCAGTCTGTAGTCACTAGGTGTTAGCTTTTCACCTCCACCACTATCCTGCAGTAAGACGAATAATTGAAATAGGGTTCAAATGCAGTCTAAATCAGTACCGAGCTCAGACCCGGCACATCCCTGCGCTTTCCTGGCATTTACATTTTCCTGCTTCCCTGCTCCCCTTGCAAAGGCTGGGCGCTCAGGGGGAAATGCTGCCGTGGCATATCCATGGCCAGGCAGCCCGAATCCACCCCACCACCCAGCCCCTGCCAGGGACCCTCACTCCCAGGTACATGAGGGCTTTGCCAAATTCACGCTGTGTGAGTTTTCCCCATACCACGGCTGCGCAAAGGAAGCGAAAAACAACCCTTCCCTTGGCTTATTGAGGAGGGGCAGCAAAAAAATCCGCTGGCGTTCACTGGAGCCATCTATCATGGCTCCAAATACACGAGGCAATTGCTGTAAAACTTGAGTTTGGCTCCGTAAAGGAAAAAAAAATACCACCCCATGCCTGTTGCAAACAACCACAGCACAAAAAAAAGCCTTACAAGGCTGGGGCAGCCTCATAGATGGATTGCTTTCTAATCCCCAAAGCTACGGTGATAAATCTTTTTATTGGAAGCTCTGGAGTTACTGTGTCACTCAGAGTGTGCGGCAGCGCAGGGGAAAACAGCTCCATGAGCTGCTGGAAGAGAGGGAGCCTCCTGGGAGCGGGGCTGGAGGTGATGGAGGAGGGATGGGTGCTTGCCATGGGGGTGCTGAGCAGACACAGAACGGGCAGGAGGGTTCCCCTGGGGCCAGGAGTGGGTGGTTGGGCAGGAACTGGCTGTTGGACAAGACACTGCTGTAAATCTGGGAGGACAGATGGACAACTTTTGGGGACTGGCTCTTTGGAAACAAAGCGTTTGCAGAGGAGATGGTGGCATGGAGCCTGACCTGGCCACATGCTCCATATTGCAGGGACAGAGAGATGTTTCCTCCAGCTCCAAGTGAGGACCGGGAGCAACGGCATCCACACTCCCCCAGCTCCCAGCCCCCCAGCGTCCCTTTGCTCTGACCCCTCCAGGCCCCCTTGGATCCTGAAAGGATCATTTAGTGGGTGAGAACTCACAGGCAGTGTTTTGGGATCCTCCTTCCCCCACAGCCATCCTGAAGTGCCAGTCAATTCCCCAGCCAGTTACATGGTTGGGAGCAGCAGGAGCAACTCGCCCCATCCCCGGCTTCTGCTACCTCCCCCTGCTCAGGGCTCTTTGCTTCTATACCACCTCCCCAGCAGGACTAACCCCTTTAATCTACACCAGGAAGGTCCCCTCTAATTTACACCAGGAAGGTGGCAGGGGACCAGGCTGACCCTGAGGATGCAGGACAGTGGGGAGCATCGTCCTTGGAGCAAACAGTCTCCAAAATTTTCTTCCTGGGGACTGCAACGAGCCTGAGGCAGGCGGGAGTCGGCAGCCACTGCCTTCCCGGTAATGGACAGGTGTAAAACCCTCTTTGTGAAACTGTTCTCCCCTGGGAGATCGGTTCCTTTTTTATAAGGTATCATGCCCTAACTGCAGCTTTTACTAAAATTCATTATGGGATTAAAGGGCTTGCCCGGGAGCCTTTGATTGCAGCATCTCTCATGAGCCCAGCTGGCATGCAGTACCTGGGGACTTGGTGTTGTCTCCACACTCTCTCGCAAAACCCTGGCCAGGGGAGCAAAGTTTGCCCTCATATCTCCACCTGAGAGACGCCATCGGCCGTGCTGCAGCTGTGTTTTGGCAAGCCTTTGGGATGCTTTTCAGGGTGATCCCTAGCCCAGCTGCATGTGGGGTGGGCGGTGGGGCAGCCCCCAGCATTGCTGCCCAACACGCCAGGACCTCAGCAGCACATTCCACTCCTGCATCTCAGAGAGGGGAATTTGGGGTAGCTGATGAGGATGGGGAGTCCCAGATCAAGGGACAGCAGGGCAGCTGGGGACACAAGGCTGGATGAAGGCAAAGGTAGTGCCTCCACCTTTCTGGCTGCTCTGTACTCCACTCCAGCAGTGCTGAGCCCCAGGAGCCCCCAAAAAACCCCGGACACACACGCTGTCCTCTGGCACTGACCAAGGGAGCTCAAGCTGCAGGGGCCCCAGCCATACCCCTGCACAGCCCAGCTGCTCACAAGCAAGGGGACGTGTCTTCCTGACCCATGGCACGAGGGACCCCAAAGCTCCATGCGGGCGGCTGTTGCTGCGTCATAAAATGCTATCGACTGCCTATTAAAAAGCCATTCCCTGGAGATTTGCGGCTGGGGAAGCGGTCGGGTGAAGTGAGATGGGGCAATAATGGCCATCAAGGAGGCATCAGTCACGTCCACCTGCGCAGCAGTGACGAGGGGCCCCGCGCAGCTGCCAGGGCGCTGGCCCCTGCCGGGACCGTCAGCGATGAGAGCTGGAGAGGGAAGAAAATCGATGGATCTCGATGCCCTTGGCCACGTTGACATACTCCGGACCCCAAAGTGCAAAGCTACAGCAGCCCCACACCCACCCTCACCCAGCAGCACACAGCAGGACCCCACAAGGGCCGAGGAAGGGCTTTGCCCACAGCAGACCCTGCTTTGGGATGGGGAGTGGGGAGGGGAACTGGCATACTGCCTGGCGCTTGCTTCTCCAGTATTTCTGCTCGGGTGCCCGGGTGAGCCCACTGGCACATCCACGCTGCCCAGCGGCATGGCTGTGGGACACCAAGCCAGGGGAGCCTCCCCGGGGGGACCAGGGAGGAGCTGGGGATGGGGAAGTTGTGCAAGGCAAGAGCTCAAGCTGCTCGGACAGCCCCTTGGGTGGCATTTCGGAGCCTCAATATTTTATCCTGTGGGAGGACCTGGCGTACACCAGGAAGTCAGTGGCATCGATCTCAGACAGTAAATCGATGGGTCCTTCCAGCCCGGGGAAGCACGACCAGCCAGCCTGCACTTCCTGGCATTTTTGTGACATTTCCTGAGCCGTGCGTCTGGGGACAAATTGATCGCCACCGCTCCGGAGGCAGCTCCCCCTCTGCAATGGCTCCAGCCCAGCCTGGCCAGAGCATCATGGAGACCAGGAAGGCTGTGAGCATCCCACTCACGCCTTCCCTGCCATGCCTAGCCCTGCAGACCTGTCATGGCAGCAGAGCCGCAGGCAGAGCCAGGGGGACACCCCCGCTGCCCATCACCCCCCGGGAGGACGGCCCAGGTTCAGTCCTGTGCTGGGAGCAGAGCTGGGTCCTGGGGGATGCAACCAGGGCACAAATCAGGCCAAAGGCTTTTTTTAATTCTCAATGAAGCTCGGCCTGTGCCGGGCAGGGATGGAGGAGGGGTCCCCACATTTCCCGGGGGTGCAGGGGGCCACAGTGGGCTGAGAAAGAGGAGGGTGGCACCCACCAGATGCACATTGGAGGGGGGAGAGTGGGGTGCATTTGTGGGGCACTGGGAAGGCGCAGAGCTGTGCCTCAGTGCTGCAAGCAGCCTGGGGCTGCCATGGTCCTGTATTTCCCCCTGCAGGCTCCAGCTCTGGAGGGAGCAGCCCTGCTCCTTCCCCTGCCCTCGGGGGGCTGGGGCGGGAGGAAGGCTGGGAGCAAGGAGCCATAAGGCATCCTGCAGCCAGACACCAGCTGGCACCACCGAAGGGATGTGCAAGAAAATCAGGGGCATGTTGGTGCCAGAGGACCCTGGGGAGGTCTCGAGGGAGAAGGCAATCACAGACCTTTTTTTCCCCACTCCATGCCATGCAAAGCTCTCCTACCTCCATGGGTCTCAGCCCAGGTGCGAGCACCTTTTGGGGCACCCATTCAGCACGGTGTCCCAAAACAGTCTGGGATGCCTGATAGCCCTGACACCTGAACCTGCAGGCTCACCCTGCTGGGCCGGGAGGGATAGGATGTTTTGGGGGATTGCTGGTATATCCCTGACATAGAAGCCAGCACCACCCCAGCTTTGGCCAGCCCCAGTGCTGAGCGCAGCAAGTGCAATGCATCCAGGACACAGCGTGGCCACCTCTGCCATGCCCCGGAGCAGCGCTGCCAAGAAAACCAGCCTTCATATCCCAGAGGGATGGCACAGAGAGGCAGGGACGCCTCCATTGCTCCTGCCCCACTCCCCACCACAGGCTGGGTGCCACAGTCAGATGGATGCTGGTGGTGGGAAAAGCCAGTCCTGGTCCCCTGCATCCTCCTGCTCATCAGCAGAGGGATGTTGCATGCATGGTGGCCTGGCCCCCCTCCACCTCCTCCAGCTCATACTCCTCGGCTTCGGAGAGGGGCAGCCCATTGGTGCCCGGCATGGGCTCACATTCGGTGCTGCGGGTAGTGGCGCGGGTGATGCTGGGTGAGTATTTCTGTGACCATGGCGGGCGGTGGCCAGGGTGGCACATCACCTCCTTGAACATCTCCCGGAAGCGGGTGGACATCAGGTTGTAGAGGATGGGATTGGCGGCTGAGCTCAGGTAGAAGAAGACGCCCGAGATGATGTGGACGTACTGAAACATGTGGAGCATATGGCTGGTCCAGGTGGAGACAAAGCTCCAGACGAGGCGGTCGGTGTGGAAGGGGGCCCAGCAGATCCCAAACACCACCACCAGCACAACTGTGGGGAGCCGAGGAGCTGGTGTTACTGGGGGAACAAGGCTCACTCCTCTGGGGACCTCCAGTCCCTGGCTAATCATTGCCCTGTTTTAGCTTTGGCCATAGCAAAGAACGCACAAAAAAGTATGGGAGAGAGGAAGAGGGAGAGGGGAAGGGCCCCCCAATGCTTTTGTTGACCTGCTGCTGTGGAGGGTCTGGACGTATGTCTGGGCAGGATTTCGCTCCCTCCATCTCCTGCCAGGGCTGCTCCAGGTGCTGCTGCACCATGCGTCTCTGCTCCCCATCAGCAGGCAGCTGCCCACATTGCAGCCCCATGGCATGGCTGGGGGATGCCTCTGCGGGCATCCAGCCTCTGGGCACTCTGCCACCTCTGCCAGCAAAGCAAAAGCACTCCCTGCTAACCAGGTAACCCATGGGGCACGGCCAAGTCCAAGGAGCAAGAGGTATTTTCACCCTCTTCTTGTGCTCTGTATATTTTTTTTTTATAACCCAGCTCTGCTGATGCATACCCACATGATGCCATACCTGTGCCATGCTACATCTCCACGGCATGCGGGGACAAGTTCCCCTTTGTCACCCTCCCAGCCCTGGTGCCAGGGGAAGCTGGAGAGAAGTCTGGGAAGACTTGTCTGGGATGTGACAGAGAAGCAGCCCTGGCCCTGCCGATGGACTGGGCTGGGCAACCCGCCATCGCTGTGCTGTCACGGGGCTGGGAGCACGCGGAGGTCAGCATGCCAGGAAGAGACAGCTACCCAAGGGCAGCCAGCTCCTGCTGCTGGGAAGGGGTCCAGAGGCTGCAGGGATGCTGATGGGGAGGGGAGCAAGGGTGCAGAGCAGTGGGATGGAGGGGTGCTCCAGCCCAGTGCATCATTGTCCCAGGTCAGTCGCAGAGGCTGTGGGGCTGGGTAGGAACTGGTCTCTCTCTGGGAAATACCACCACCACCAGCAGCACACAAGGTCTGGGCTGGGGGATGGGGGGCAGGTTTCCCCATCCCATCCCATCCCATCCCATCCCATCCCATCCCATCCCATCTCCTTTCCCTTTCTCACCCAGCACTTTCCTAGAGGAGGAGAGGTCTCGTGGCCAGGAGGTATCTGGCATGAGCAATCCCCACCACTGGACCAGAGCCACCAGTTCTGCCTTTGCCTCAACACCCCACGAGCCAGCCCCACAGCCTTCCTCCAGGATGACCCAGCAGCTCTGGACTGGCTGTGCCTCAGTTTCCCCCCAGCACCCTCCCAATGCAGCCTTGGGAGACACTTCCTGGCTCTGCCCATCCCCAGCATCAGAATCCCCAGTATCGGACTCACAGAGCATCTTCGTGACCTGCCTCCTCTTGACTTTCTTCTGCCCCCAGGCATTGTGGCAGTCACGGCCACCAGCGGACTTGGCTCCCAAGGCCTCCAGCATCTTCTCTTTCCTGAGCTGTAGTCCGATGAGCAGGTAGAGAATGCTGATGGTCCCCATGGGCAGGAAGAAGAAGACGATGGTGGTGATCTGGATGACAAGGTTGTAGGTCAAGCGCGGCTTCACCAGGGTGCAGATCTCTGAATCGGGCACCCGCCCTCGGCCAGGCACGTAGAGAGGCTGCAGCCCATGGAGGCTGGTGTTGGGGATGGAGCAGATGACCGACAAGACCCAGATGGTGACGATGACCCTCTTAGCATGATTCCTGGTCACCACGTACTTGGCCTTGAGCGGGTGCACCACGGCGATGTAGCGCTCCACGCTCAGGGCTGTGACATTGAGGATGGAGGCGAAGCAGACAGCCTCAAAGAGCAGCGTCTTGAAATAGCAGCCGCTGGCGCCCAGCAGGAAGGGGTAGTTGCTCCACATGTCGTACAGCTCCAGAGGCATCCCCAGCAGCAGCACCAGCAGGTCAGAGACAGCCAGGCTGAACAGGTAGTAGTTGGTGGGCGTCCTCATGAACCGGTGCCGGAGGATGACGATGCAGGTGAGCGTGTTGCCCACAGCTCCCACCACGAAGATCAGCAGGTAGATGACACAGACAGGGACAAAGAAGCTGGACCGTCGAGGTCCCAGGTACTTATCCCGCAGCTGCTCCTCTGTCAGGTTGGCATCCTTGGGGTCAAACAAGGTCTCTGGGTGAGTTCTGTTGCAGAGATCAGGGCTGATGGGCTCCATGGGAAAGTCTCGCTGGGGCAGGGGGAACTCAGGGCCAGAGCAGTTGACGTAGGGATTCATGGCTGTGGAGAGACAGGGAGGTTTGCGGGATGCTTTTCCCAACCCCTCTGCTGCCTCTTGCTCCCTCTGCCCCCTCCCTGTTGATGTCAGGGTGTCAGGATGATGCTGATCACCATGGCTCTGCACCCTCGCACTCATCCTGACACAGTCCCAGCCTTTGCTTTGGAAACCACCCAAAATCTCTCCCCAGCCTCCCTCTAGGATTCCAAGCGCTCCTTACCCCATTTCCCATCCACAAACAATCCTGGCAGCTCCCCAGCCCACCTTGGCCCCTTCGCCCTGCCATCGGGGGGTGTCAGCGGGGTTGTCCCCTCTCCCTTCTCCCAAAGCAGAGCAGGATACAGCCCCAAAGCCAACCCCAAAAATCGATCCTGGTTACAACTCTACCAGCCATGCAGAGGGGTTCATAAAACAGCCAGAGGGAAAATTGATTTTTCCAATCCAAGAAGGACTTACGACTTGTTGGGACGCTCCAGATGAAGGCTGAGGTCCCACTACCCCTGCGCTGGACGGGGTCGGGCTGGGGAGGGAGCGTGGGAGGGGATGGAGTCTTCACTGCCTTAAGAGGCAGGCTAAGGAAATCTTCCTGCTGCTCTTCCCTCAGAGCTCAGCTTGGAGAAGCCGCCTGCCCTTATCCACCTTCTCCCTCTTGTCCTCTGTCAGCAGAGAGCGTGGATGAGAGCCGGGGGTGCCGGGGGCTTCCTCTCCCACCGCTGGGCAAGCAAAGCCCAGTGCTGAGACCCTACCCCTGCCGGGGGCTGACTCCTCGTTTGCAAAGCAGCACTGCCAAAAAGATGCCCTTGAGAAAGAGAGAAAGAGGAAATACGTTAAAGTAATAAACTCCATTGACTCTAGGAGAGTCGCGGGGGAGGGCGGCACAGCCATCTCCAGCCCCACCAGTAGCCTTCGCAACACAGGGATTTGCCATTTGCGTGGCCTCCGTGGTGAGGGATCCATCGATCGTCCCCACTGCCGTCCCGACGCGGCCAGGCGTGGGGGCCATGCGGCACCCAGCTGTCCTGTCTCCTCTGGGGGTGATGCAGCCGGACCCAGCAGCTTCCTGGGGTCTCCCTGCATCCAGATGTGAAACCCCAGGGTCACCCAAATCACCTTACCATGGAGCAGGTGGCTCCAGCCAGCTCCTGTCACACTTTGATGCGAGGAAGTTGCTGCGATCGCAGTTGCTGCTTCACCCCACGCCAGGGTCTGCTCCCTCCCCACGCCCAGTGTCTGTCTGTCTGTCTGCGCTCCTGCCTGTCCTCTGTGCTGGCATCCCATCCTGCTGACAACGCCCGGGTTCGGTAGCCCTGCGCGGATCCGTGCACACAAGCATGCACACATATGCACACACACATGCGTGCACTCACATATAAGCGCACATACACGCATGCACACACATATAAGCACACAGATATGCACACACACACGCGTGCATGCACATATAAGCACACAGACACGCACATACACGCATGCACGCACAGACATGCACACACTCACGCGTTCCTGCGCCCCACAGACGCGTGGCAGGGCTGCGCGTCCCCGCTCCACCCGCGGCTCCTCTCTCCTCCAACACGCGCTTTACCGGTCCCAGCCCAGCCCGGAGCCGGCTGCTCCTGGCGGGGAGGCGGCTCCGTGCGACGGCAGAGAGCAATGCCACGCCGCGGGACGGGCAGGCACCCGTGGGCACAGGCACACGCATCGGTCCCTTCATCCCCTCCGAAGGTGGCAGGACCCAGGGTCCCCGTCCCGTCCCCCCCAGGGGATAACACCTGGAAGGGCTCTGGCATCCCGGGGACCCTCCTCGACCGAGCCTGTCCCAGCACCATCCTTGCTGTGCACGGAGGCACCTGGCTGGGCCGGGTGGGAGATGGAGCTGGAAGAGCCTCTGGCAGGGCTGGGTTCAAGCAGGGGGGACAAGGATCTTGGAGAAGGAGCCTGGAGAGACCTGCCTGGAGAGACCCCTCAGCCCCGTGCCCCCTGCTCCCACCCAGGCTGAGCCCCAGCACAGCTCACTGCACCGCTGAGCCTGATGCCTACGGCCAGGCCACAAGGAGCTGCCTGGATCCAGCAGCCTCCAGCGCCAGGACACTGCCCTTGGGGTCCTGCACCTTCAAATCCCTCTCCTGATGCCAGAGCACACAGCAGACAGGAGCAGCACCACTCACCCGTCTTCTCTCCCACAGCCCAAGGGGGAAACTGAGGCACCAAATTCCCACCAGTGCCCTCTTTCCCAGGAGGCTCAGTGCCTTCAGGAATGCTCTGCCTTGCTGCTGTTGCAGCGGGAAGCAAATAGAGCCTGGCTGCAACCAGAGGCGATTGGCAGTGGCACAAATGTCCCCGGGGCCAGCGGGCACAGCCTGGCACTGGGGCAGAGCACCCAGCACAGCCCCTGCTCAGGGGCCACCCATGCAGGCTGCACCCCCTGGCACACTGCTCCAGAGCACCCTTGGACTGAGGGGTGCCAGCTGGGTGCTGGGGGTGACCACAGCACCCCATTTCCCTGCTGGCTGGTGCAATAAAGCCAAAGGAGAGCAGCAGGGGACAGCACGCAGGGGGAAGAGGGTGGCAGGTGGGATCAGTGTGCTTGGACCAGCCCAAGGGGGTGACACACACAGTGGGAACTGACCCCCCAAAGCCCTGGAGACATTTTTCCTCACTGTTTTAATACGATACAAAGATCCTGAAAGCCTTGAGAGTGCTTGACCCACACGCTGCCCCTCCGCACAGGCTGGCAGCAAAGGCAAAATCAGCCCACAGCCTCCCTGGCCCGCAGCCTACTGTGCTGGAGCAATGGATCTGTGCCTGGCTCTGTCCCCACCAGGTAAGGATGATGGGGGGGAGGAAGGCCAGAGGGATGCCAACAGAACAATTGCTGCAGCACCGCATGCTGGTGCCAGCCCCAAAGGGCTGCATGTCCAGGTCTGTAGCAGAGCTCGATGCTCAAAGAAATTTCAGAGCAGGCGAGGGATGATAGGACTCGACCAGCAAAGCTCTGGGTGGGCTTGGTGGCCCTAAGCTGGCCCAGCCTGTGCTCCTGGCAGCAAACAGGCTGCAGAGGGGAGCTGGCAGAGCAAACACACAGAGGGCAGGAAGGGTCCAGAGCTGCCCCAAGATGTGACTTTCCTCAGAACATCTCTCGGAGCAGAGGAGAGGAGCTTGCTGAAGCCAAAGGGCTGGAGGCTAAATGGCTGTAAACAAGACATTACGCAAGGGAAAAAACCAACAAGCTGGAAATAATGTCTGAAACTGGGAGGGAAAAGAGGTGCTGCCTGCTCCTACAGGAGTGATGAAGGCAAAGAAACCTCATCCCCTCTGAGCATGGACACGGGCTAAAACCCAGGGGTTTATGTCACCAGGCTGGTGACAGCAGGGACATGACACAGGGACAGCAGCCAGGCGATGCTGGCAGGGGCTCAGCAGTGCTGGCTTGGCAGATGCTGGGGTGGGCAGCAGTGCCTGGGTGGCAGAGCCAGAAGCAGTAGCTGATGGGCACAGATTTCTGTCCCTGCCTCCGGATGGAGCTCAGGCTGCTTTTTCCCCAGGGAAGGGGATGGATCCCTGCTGGTGCAGAGGCAGGTTGTGCTGTACCACTGAGGCACCAGGAACCTGAGCAAAAGCCTACTTGAGAGGTTGCATCGGGGGATGAAGCATTCCTGGAAACATCTCTCTCATTCTCCATCCTTTCTCTCTCCTTTCCATCCCTCATCTGCCTCCCCCTGTTCCCTGGCCACCCTGCTGAGCAGGCACACAGTACAGCCAGCTCCCAGCATGGTCCCAGCTACTCACTGAGCTCTGTGCACTGTGGCATGGCCATCTCCCCCATCCTTGGGACAGAGGCTGTTCCCTGCATGCAGCCATGATGCCTCCCACCCCTGTTCTGTCCTCACCCCTACCTGGGCTTTGCTGCAGGGCAGCCCCTGGAGCTCTGACCTGTGTCCTTGTCCCTGCAGGGACTCCCGCAGCTCATTTGTCCTGCACCTCCATGGGGATGAGGGAACGTCTGCTGGGACTGAGGGGTTTGGAGGTTGCTTGGGTTGGAGCAAAGCAATGGGGATGCTGCTGAGCTCTTACCAAACTTCAACATGTTTCCCAGAAGTCTCCTTTCCTAGCTGAAGACAACAGGCACATGGTAAGGATGGTCTGCAAGGAGCAAGGAACACACAGGGTTCACTCAGAGCTGAACTATGGGGTCCATCCTTTCCCCCCAGGTTGCCAGATCCTGGCTTCCAGGTGGTGACAGAGGTCTCTTGCCCTGCTTGACCATGGGCCAGGTCTCCTAGCCCCGGTTTTGCTGGGACACAAGAACCACTGGACCAGGGGTCCTTCTCTCTTTGCATCCCTTTTTCCGTCGCATCAGCTTGCTTGGACCATCCCCTGTAACGGGGGCCTCAACAGCTGCTTCCACCCTGCCTGCTGTCATATCTCTTTGGGAGGAGTTGGTAGCTCTCAGGGACTAGCATATCACTTCTTTTCCTCAGCATCTCTGTTTCTTGCTGCCCCTCCTGAGTCCCCGCAGGCCTGACCGTGCTTCAGAGTGATCCATTCTGGTTTTCAATTTTCTGATAAATCAAATAAGCAGGAGGTGGCAACCCCGCTTCCACTGCTGCTCCCCCACTGCTTGAAGGGGGTGAACTGCACAAGGGAGCACGACCCTTCAGTCTATTCCCCTTATCAGGTACTTTATTGTGTTAACCCTGGGCAGGGAGGATGGCCAGCAGCATGCCAAAACCCACTCCTCGCACAACCAGTCAGCCACAGCCCAGCCATCCCCATGGCCAGAGCATCTCCAGGCTGGGCTGGAAATTTCAACAGCACGTAGGCAAGCCAGGGCTGCCCACAAGGCTTCTTCCTCCTGCTCCCTGCCATGCACCCATCCCTCCCAGTGATCCGACCAGTGCAGAGGTAGCTGGGTCCCTCCACGTGCAGGTAATGCTGGCACACAGAGGTTGAGTGAGGCCCTGTCTGCAGCATTGCCAGGAGAATTAAGAGGCCAAAAGAGAAGACAAACAGCAGCTTTGAAGCTTGAGAGCTGCAGCCCTAATAACCAACTGCTTCCACTCCCAGCTCTTTTCAAGGGCGCATCACTCACAGTAATTACAGGGTAGATCAGCACAGACTTTTATAGAGCTGTCTGTGCTCCGTCCCCTCCATTTCTTCCCCTGCTTTGCAGTTTTAATTAACACACTCTGGTCCTGAGCACAAAAAGCCACCGAGCCACAGAGAGACTCTGCATCTGAGAGGGAAACTGAGGCACAGACAGTCACTTGTCTCCTCCATGCCATCCTGCAGCAGGCAAGAGCCCCTGGGGTACATCCCTCACTGCCACTGAAACAAGCTTTGCAGGGTATTGCTGCTGCAAATCTTCCTGGGCAGTGATAGCCAGCACGGACGGAAAGGGGTTACAAAGCTTTGGGACAAGAATGAACCCTCTCCCCTCAGAGAACAAGCAAATCTCTCAGCCATGGGGCTATAAAAGGGACTTCTCTCCCTGCTGGGAGCCACCTACTGGAAGGTGCCCCTCTTTGGTCACCTGGGGGTGATGTGTCCAGAGGATGCATCTCAGAGCAGGAGGATGCTCATTTTGGTTCCCAAGGCCGGGAAGGGCCACTCAGACCCTCAGGGCACCAGACAGACCTGGATCTGTGCAATTTTGTAGTAACATAACTGAGGATTAATGCAGGTCACTGGGGTGGCCTTTCCAAAGCAGCACTGCAGTCATTTACCCAGCAGAGCCCACCCCCACATCCTTCTGTCTGGTGTGGGACACCCCCCTTCAGTAATTTTTTGGCCATCGTTACCCTGCACATTTCCAGTCACTAACTTTCCAGAGGCCTTTTTCCACTGTGTAAAAGCCGTACCTGCTCCCAAAATCTCATCTCAGCATTGTTACCTCCTCAACCCCTCTCGCACAGCCCAAGCAGGTGACATCTTAACCTCTCCCAGTAGCAACAGCTCTTTCTAGATCTCCAAGTTCCCTTTTCTGAGCTGATCATAACTTGCCAGCACCCTTTCCGGCGTGCAGGCACCCAGCAAAGGAGCCCGCAAGGAGCCCTTGCTCACCTGGGACAGCTCACTGCATCCCCATGGGTACCCTGCTCACAGCCCAAAGTTTCTCCCTGCAGCAACCACTGCACCTAAAGCCCCACAGCTCATCTGAGAAATTGCTGGGAAGGGGCATTTCTCCTCCACCCCAAAGTGGGCTGAAAGGAGAAAGAAGGGGGTAAAAAAAGTAAAAAAAGACCATTTCAATGTTCACTGGGATAAAAGCAATCAGCTTTCTAAGGAACAGCAAAATTGGCTTCTGCTCCACGGCTTGTATCCCCCAGGTCTGCTGGGGGGACAGGGAAGGCAGGCACTATCTGAGCAGGTATTTGGGCTCCATGGCAACCATAATTTTGCTAATCAGGGCCAACACAGACTTGAAGTGCTTTTTCACCTGGCAGGAGCACTAGGCTTTTACAGGTCCCCATCAGGCCAAATTGCCTGGGGGTGCTGCCTTGGCCATGCCCCCTGTGCAGTGATGGAGCGGGATGAGGACTGGCTGCAGCCAAGGGCATCCTGACAAGATGAGGGGATTCAGTGTGCCCTCAGTAAATTTGCAGACAACACCAAACTGGGTGGTAGTGTTGATCTGCTTGAGGGGAGGAGGGCTCTGCAGAGAGACCTGGACAGTCTGGATCAATGGGCCAAGGCCAACTGTATGAGGTTCAACAAGGCCAAGTGCCGGGTCCTGCACTTTGGTCACAACAACCCCATGCAGTGCTACGGGCTCAGGGAAGAGTGGCTGGAAAGCTGCCTGGCGGAAAAGGACCTGGGGGTACTGGTTGACAGCCAGCTGAATATGAGCCGGCAGTGTGCCCAGGTGGCCAGGAAGGTCAATGGCATCCTGGCCTGTATCAGAAATAGTGTGACCAGTAGGAGTAGGGAAGTGATAGTGCCCCTGTACTCGGTGCTGGTGAGGCCGCACCTTGAATACTGTGTTCAGTTTTGGGCCCCTCACTACAAGAAAGATGTTGC